TTAACTACAAGTCATTATCATTTTATAAATCAAAGTTACATAATGAAAAGAATGACAATTAATCTTCTTGCATTATACTTAGAAAAAAACACAAAAAAGAATGTTGTTCCAACGTTTCTTTATTTGTTTTACACAAATCTTTGTTTAATCAACTATTATTTTACAGTAAAGGTGATTGTGTGTTTTTTCTGATTTATTTTTCAATTTAACTAAAGTGATCATTATGATTATAAGTTCACTATATTTTATTGAAAAATAAATCAGAAAAACACAATCACTATAAAATAATAGTTGACTAAACAAAGATGTGTGTAAAACAAATAAAGAAACATTGGAACATTATTCTTTTTTGTGTGTTTTTTTTCCAAGTACAATGCAAGAAGATGGATTGTCATTCTTTTCATTATGTAACTTTGATTTATAAAATGATAATGACTTGTAGTTAAAAGGAAGTATAAATCAAAAATCTAAAGAACATTATTATTTTGTTTATTAAATAAAATAAAATGACTCTTTTGAGGAAGGTCTTTTAAACCAGGGTCAAAGTCAAGTGGAAATGTTTATTCCCACTCGGAGTGACCCTCACACAACTAATCTGTTGTAAACTCTGAGTTTTAGTAGAGCTAAAGCAAGTGGCACACATGAATATCCACAGCATATGGTTTATTTATAACTACTTTAGGCTTTATTTTATGCATTTGGGTTAAAAAGTTACAGCCCTGCTGCAGAAAGCGAAAGGAAAAAACAAACTTTACCTTTATCTTTTCAGTTTTCTTATTTAAGCAATAATTGTTTTCTTGTTAATTCCTGTTCTTTCACATTTCTTTTTGCCACTTCCTCCAGCTTTTCTCTGTTTTCCAGGTTCCTATCTTTATTCTCACTCAGAGCTTCATCCATTTCCCTCCTCCCCCTCGTCTCAACATCTTCTTCCTCCTCAACATAAAAACATTGCTGGCAATGATGCTGATGGATCAAGTAGCAGCCTGTAACTGTGCAAACCTACAGCCTGAACCTTAGAAGTCCCGTAAAGTGATCTGCTGCTGGTTTGCAGCTCGACCCCCCGAGGAGCAGCCTCCTCTTTGCTTAGCCAAGCAGAATGCAGACACAGCACATAAATATAAACAAAAATACATACACACCTTACATCACGAGTTCTAAAAATACATGAAAATTATTTCTTTTTATGTAGGTCAGCGCCAACAGCTTCAAAGCAAAAATGTGATTATTTTTAAAAAATGCCTATTCTGAATGCCTGGAAGGAACAGTTGCTTGTTAACCTGATATATACGAGCATTTCTGAGTGATCTGATGGCTGTTTATTAGTTGATGCTTCTGATGAACCCAGTGCCGGATCTAGGATTTTTCTGAGTAAGGGGCCATCAAGGGGCCACAATATTCATAGAGGGGCCAAGTGTTTATTTAACATCCTTGCACACAAATTGCTGGTTTTGKTATGGTGCATAAATTTTACCAGTCACACATTTAAACACTTGTAATGTGATTTTAAAACAGCTTGCACTGTAGATTCTCCTTATTAATTGTACATGCATTATACAGTACATGGAAGAAATACTCTCAAACACACATTTGAGATAATCCAGCCAACATTTGTGAGTTAAAATACTTTTTCTACATGATTTTTCAAATTTTAAGAAAAGAAAAATACTTCTGTCAGCTTGATTCATGCTGGACTTTTCTATTTGGCTCATTAGCACCTCTAGTGTTTAGACATGGAACTGCACCCAGCATCATCACTCTTGGGCAAAGAGATGAGTGACAGGACAGGGGCACTTCAGGAGGCCAATCACATTTCAGCAGGGGCCAATGCCCCTGCGGCCTCGGCCCCAGAACCGCCTCTGGATAAGCCTCAAATGCTTGTAACACTTCAGAGGTGAAGAGAGACAGCTCCTTGAGAAAGGTTGCACTCAAACACAGAACCATTCATGGGCGAGGCATTCAAAGATGAAGAGGACTGAGAGTGGAGAAGAGAAGGACCGGTTTGAACCTGTGTCCCCTCTGAATTGTTTAAATCCTGCTAAAGGTTGCAGAGCAGCAGAGGAGCTCTGTGGAGTTTTCCCAAGGGAAAAAGAAAGAAAGAAACATAGTTATGGGCATTTTGCTTCATTTTAAAGCAGGTTGACTTCAAAAAGTAATTACTTCTAGATGTACGTTAATTAAAATCCTTCCAAACACACAACAGAAATTACATTATAGTGATGAGATGTTCAAGTGATACAAATGTTGTTTCGGTTGTTTTTTTTWAAGTCTAAACAAGGAAACAATTTTAGAAAAAGAGTAAAATATTGAGGCCAGAGAGACTCAGAGGCAGACAGAAAGTGGGGCACAAGCAGGAGGAAAGAGAACGCTGGTGTTCTTTAAAGTTGAGCCATCACAGCCACTAAATCCCTGCGCTTCATGCCAGGACTCATCCTGCTTCATCCTCAGGTGAGCTTCACTCCTTTACATCCATCTGTCTCTCACTCGTCTCTTTTTTTTTTTCGYTCAGTGTTTAGAATGAACATTCTTCAGCTCCATGCCGTGTGGCGGCAGAGCCAGGAAGTGTTGAATTAAAATTTTAATTTGCTTCCTGGGTGTCCTGACTCRTCCTGTCAGGGCTGCAGGAACTCGGTGAGTGAGGCTCATCTTCACGTCATCCAATCTTCTGGTTTTAGTTACTCTTTCAGGGTCTTTTCAGTTTTATTGTTCTTGTTTTTGTGCAAACAGTATATTCTGCAATTTACAAACACGTCAGCAAACACAAAATTCTGCAGTGGTTTTAACTGAGTGAAACACAAACTAAACTTCAACAGAAATGTTGCTTACAGAGAAGGTATCAATTTATTGGGTGTTAAATAAAAGCAAACCTCTGTTACAAATTTTAAAAATATATGTTTAGAGTCTATATTGTACGGAAGAGCATTGCATTCACCAAAAATAAAAATAAACTCCTGATCAAATAATTATTATCTTCAATGACACAGGGAAATGTTGAGTTTACTGAATGTGGATGGTGTGTMTGCTGGTTTGTTAATAAATCCATCTGCACACCMGTMCACAGGAGTTCTGTCTAATCAGCTTCGTCACAAACAAAACACTGGCACTCAAGTGGTACTTCCTGTTTCAGCAACTGGATATTTCAAAATAAGAGTCCCACTCAATACAGTCAGAACAAAACATTACAGATGATATGTCGATATGACGCAGGTTCCTTGCGGTTGTTCAAGTGAAAAGCTCACTCTGACCTGCTGGAAGTTGCTCTCGTTCTGCGGTATGGGATGCTATGTGTAGTTAAATGTGTTAAATTACATCCTGTATGCAAAAAGYACACACTTCCTCCTGTTYCTTTCTCTACAACTTTATTAAACTCTGCTGGATAAACATTATACTGCTTGTTCTGGGAACGTGTTTAAACAAGAACATGAGATACTAGACATGCTCAAAACCCTTTAAAGTATAATTTTTTTGGTGAATGTAATGCTCTTCCTTAATATTGCTTTTCAGTTGTACAAAGTTATAAATTGTAATTATTTATAAATGTGATCCAAAGTGTGATTTCTCATATTCTGATTTGAGTCTTTTTTAAATCATTTTTCTTTTCATTCTCCGTCTGTTTCCTCAAGACTTTTTCACAAGGGATTATTAATTTATCATTAATTTATAAGACATTATTTTCAACAGCACATACTGAAAAAAATATTCAGAGACTGACATCTTCAAATAAGGAGTGAATTAAAATATCAATTTCATGATACTTTTAATAGCAAAAAGTAGAAGAAATTTGATGTGAACTATGCAGTGTTATTTATTTAGAACGTATCCAGATTAGTCCGATTTTTATAGATACTACTTCCATATTTAATAAACTTATAAAAAAGATTGCCAYATCTGTATTATTCAAGTTATATAATGTGAAGATTTAAGTGTTTTAGCTCTTAAATAACTTATTTCCTTTTTGTCTGCCCCCTATTTAAATACTTTAAATAAACCCGAAATATTTCATGTTTGTCTTTCATAATCAGTTTTGTGTTAAAGCCTAAATTATTTAAATCAATCTGAACGTATTGATGTAACACTGCAGGATGCTTAGCTGGGATAAAGTTTCTTCCTTTTTTTTCCCCTTTCCAAACATCGTGTACATCATGAGACAACATGTGTTGAAACTGTTGCTTCATCTTGTCACAACTGGCATGCGATCATGACAGGAATAATTCAGCAGTTCTTTCATATGTTGCACTGAGATTTCAGTATGATATTTAAAATGACGCCAAAACAAAAGACTTTAAAAAAAACTAAATAAGTAGGAAGTTGATTTCCAACAAGATAAAAAAGGCATCATTTGTGCACACTGCTGCAATCCCAACAATAATCTAATCACACTGACCAACTTTTAACATTCATGACGTCACATCAACAAAGAGCTGCAGAAATTAGCTTTCCTTCACTTTTCCCACCCACATTTTTCCCAGTAAAGATCAGGGGATTCTGCTTGGAGATTGRTGGGGAAATACAGTTTTCAGAACAAAAGTTTAGATCTTCTTTATACAAGAACATGAGAAACTAGACATGACCCCTGCACATACACAAAGCACCAACACAGCAGTCATCAGAATGGATTTACTGTTTTGGGTAGGGGTCCGGGGGTCGGCCTGATGGATAGTCCTTGAGCGAAACAACAGCAAAATCTGACGCTCCTATGTTGAACAGTTTTTGAGTTATAAGCATTTCTGTATGTCCAAACACCCACTTTTTAGATGGAGCCCCCTCCTCACACATGGGGTCTATCGTAAAACCGTTGACTGGCGCAGTGTAGGTTGGACACATCTACATTCCTACCAAATTTCAYGCGGATTGGTGCTGCAGTTGACCAAAAATCTTGAAAAAAAAACTAAAACAACATACAGTAATCTGCTATTTACTCACCGCTGAATATAAACATCTAGCAGAGTCACCTAATGTCACCATATGGGTGCTTTAAATTGTGTATTTTTTAAAACACTTACTGAAAGCTGCCACGGCCAAAATGAGTGTGACCACGATGGAGATCCAGGACACCCAGAGAGCCTTCTTCCTGTAGTTCTGGGCCTCGTGGGGCTTCAGGCGCATGCTGCTCTCCAGGAGACCTGTGGTGAGAAACAGAAACCTCATTACAAGTACATTACTGTTGTTCTCTTTCCCTCTGTTTTAGATAATAAATGTTAGGTCTTTATGTTTCTGTGTGATCGCATCAGACAGCTGGAGGGAAAGTCAGAGGTTATTCAAACTAATCAACTCTGGGAATATTCATTCAAACGTGGGCATTTATGTTGACATTTAATTCATTTATTTAACTTAATAGCAAAAGCCTGCTCACATGACTTTTTTTAATTTCAGGTTATTGATTAAAGGCAAAAAACATAAGAAATCATATAACTGTTCCACTTTTTCTATATCCCAGAGTACAACATAAGTTTCTTTTATTCTTTAAATAGAAAACCAAACTCAGCATCCAAATCCAGAAAACACCGCAGTGAAAGACGTGTTGCAGACGTGATAAAGCTGACAAAGAGCAGACAAGTTTAACAACATTAAAACACTTCTGAATGTTAATTAACACCTTACATCTTCTTGTTGTCACCTTCAAATAAAGCACTGGCAGAATAATTAAACATGGGGGATTTGAAAAATGTAAAACGCCTAAAAACCTTTGTGAGTCAAAACAGGTCATGGATGAAGCAATGCCGACAGACAACTTGTCTACTTTTCCTTTCTTAATGACCTTCATCGGCCTTAAGTCTTCAAGATATACACAAAAGTATACGTGCTTTCCTAAAGTAATTAATTACCATATAATCCACACCTTTTCAAAATAAAAGCAATTATGATGGCAGAATTTATAAGGTAAATTGTGTTGTGCTCAAATCACTTAAAAAAACGAAAAGACTGAACAGAATAGCTTTCAGAAACATCTAGATTCATTTCTGAATTTATATTTGTCGTGTGTGTTTGTGTGTGTGTTTGTGTGTGTGTGGTTGTGTGTGTGTGTGCATGAGGAGTCTCTGGCTGATGCCACAGACTAAACAACCTAGATTTCCAACTGCCTGCAGCTTTTACTTTCACATGAAATGTAAGAATGACTCTGCAGGTTCATGAAATATTTATGAGGCTGAACTTTCACATCCAAAGGAGATTTTAATGCTGTTGGCTGTCATTGTATCCAGTAATCTGTCCTGGGACTGCTGTAACCAAGCAGATGGTGGAGACCATAAATTTCAGGCAGAACCCCTTAATGTGTATATTTTATTTTTCTTCTTAATTTGGAAGTTACATTACATTACGTTGGTCACTCTTAAATGTTAACTCTTCAAACATAGACTCTTAAATAAAAATCTGGCTGTGGTATTCACTTTCAGGTTGTTTTACTTCACTGGTGTGATATTTTCTTTCAGACAACAGTTGATAACAAATGAAATGTGATGAAAGGAGCATTTTCTTTTTTATCTCTGGTAGCTGGGAAACAAAGGAAAACCTATAATCTTTACACCAGCCTGCTCAGGAGATTGATATTATCAGTCCATGAAATGGACGTTATTAGGCGTTATCAGTCTCATACAATGGCTTCAGAGGGTCCATACTGTGCCTTCTAGGCTTCAGACTGCCCCGACAGTGCCCCCTAGTGGGTTAATATATCAATGAAAATGAATGTGTAAATAACCAAAAGATATTGTAATAAATTTTTTGTGTCCGTTTCGGACTCGAACCCTGGTCTCCCGCTAACCATGTCATTTGCTCTAAAGTTAACCTTAGTGGCTTTAAGCCTGATATTAACCTGTTTTTTATGCCTCATGTTAACCAAATAGTGGTTTTATGCCTCATACTAACCAGCTGACAATTGGAAGCCATTCTATGGGACGGGGAACCTGCTAACCGGCACAGGCGGGACATTCTGAAGCCTTTCTAGAGGACTGATAACGCCCAATAATCCATTTCATGGATGATAACATCCGAAGCGGGTGGCCTGCTTTGGTCTCTGAGATCAGAGTAAAGCTGCTGTTCCCCATCAAAACCAGTCAGCTGAGGCGGTTTGGGCATCTGATTGTGATGATGCTAAGTCACCTTCTTTTAGACTTTTTTTAAGCATGTTCTGTTGGGAGGAGACCTGAGGGCAGATGCAGAACTCACTAGAAGGAATATACAATATATCATTGGTGGCTTGGGAACCAGGAGCTGGAGAATCACAGAAAAGAGGGTTTTGCTGTGAGACGTGTCGGCTCCAAAGATGGATGGATGGATGGATGGATGGATGGATGGATGGATGGATGGATGGATGGATGGATATACTTTAAATCAAGACATTTTGTTCACTATCTGCCTGACATTCAGTGTTTAGTGAAAGTCCTCAATTAGCTGCAAAACTGAAAAAAGGTAAATCAAAGAAAAATCACATGATTCTAAAAGAGCTTAAGATCATTTAGAAGACTCAGTAGGATGGATTAAATCACTGTTCACAGTGTGAAAGTGCACAATCAGATTAGGGTCAACTTTAATTTACAGGCTTGGTTGAAAGGTCGAGGACTAACTAACCTGAAGTACAGAAATGTAAGTGGTTCTAATGTTTCCTGTGGTACTGTATGTGTGTGTATGTGTGTTAGTGTGTATGCCAAAAGGCATTAATGCAAATAAGTCCCTGTGTGATTGAACCTGAAATCTAGTCTCTTTAGAATAAACTGAAAATGATCTTAAAGGGGCAATATCATGTAAAATCAACTTTTTTGAGTTTTATATCATGTTATAATGTTATACTCTCATAAAAAAAACATGCCCAAAGCCTTGCTCTGACTCATTCATGCATGTTTGAGAAATCCTGCAGCGTTTTTAGGAAGCCATGCTGAGGAGCAAAACGACAGGTGGGGACCAGAAACGCCCCTAGGACGTGTCTTTAAGCCAAACTTCCTCATGGCAGAGCGCCCCCCACCCCACCCATGACTCCTGCAGGCTCTCGGGTGAAAGTGAAAGTGAAACCTAACTGTCTGCTGAGCTCCCACTTGCTCAGTGAAGCTCTTTTCAAATTAAAAAATACCTTTGAGGAAATGTATTTTCAGATACCAAGTAAACTGTATCATGGCAGCCCCCACCCCTCCCCCGCACCGAAATGGGCGAGACAGAAGCAGAAGGAGGTTCTTAAAGAGACAGAGGCCAATTTTAAGGCATTTAGAAGAGGAAGTGGTGACAAGATAAGTTTATTTTCTATTTAAACATAAAAACAGCATTTTAATAGCAGCTAAAGGTGGCATAGATACTTTATTATGGTATAGTATTTAAATATATGCCTGAGAAACACATAATATTGCCYCTTTAACATAAACCTCTGGAGTGAAAGGCAGTGAGCAGATGAATGAAATATTGCATGTGAATATTCCTTCAAGAAATTTTGGACCAGTTTTTCTCATAACCTGAACAACTTTGGCAAACATGTGCGTAATTTTTTGCAAAAACCCTTGTATTTTTAGAAACACTTTGTTACTTGTGAAGAAAACGCGAAAAACATTTGTTCAGAACTAAACTAGTTGGTTTTCAGTACAAATCCTCTCATTTAAATAATTCTGCAGAGCTCCAAAGACAAGTGGAGGAGCCACAAATAAACCTTATTAAAAGTTAAACCAGTCAGGTTGTGTGTGTGTGTGTGTGTGTGTGTGTGTGTGAGTGAGTGTGTTTGTGTTAGAGGAGGAGAAGTGAGACAGTGAATCACATGATCTCTGACTGGAGGAGCAGACAGAAGGCATGTGTTCAACATCTCTTCACTGCCTACGTCTCTGTGTGTGACTCAGGCACAGGTTTCTACACACTTGTGTGTCCTGACGTTTGTCGTTGTCACAACTTTTCGTTCCAGAAATAAATGAACACTGAGTCTGGGCCAAGTCCTCCAAACACACAAGACAAGAGAGGAAACTGGTGGGTTTCTGAGGTCGTTTACGTCTCTAAATATTATGAATGTTTAATGAAAACCTTAAGATTTTCTCATCAAACCCCTTCCCAAACGCGCCTTAAAAAGCATGTTTTTATGTCTTGAACTTTTCTATTTAACCTCAAACATCTAATATATTTTCCTGGGGTTTTCTGCAGAGCAACATAAAGTAGCTGCACATTTCTGTGGTTGCAAATAAAAATCTGAACAATGTTTGCATTTGTATTCAGCCCCTTTTCTCTAATACCCTGAAAGACAAGAATAAAAAAATGTAYAATGCATAAAGTGTGCTTGTGTTTGATTATTGCTTTTTCTGGTGCACAGCTGCTCAGCTGTTTGATTTTTACAACAAATTTCCCCCTCGTCACCACTACTTGGAGCTGTTTTTTTTTTTTTTTTTACACAGCAATGGTGTTCTGAGACCCTGTTTTTCACTTTAGTGGCACAGACAGACAGAACAGAGGCAGCTTAGTGCCACGCTGATGGCTGCTTACAAATTGCAAGATGGCTTTGCAGAATCGCCTGACTCCAGTGTCTGTCACTGAAGCTATGTGCTCCAGAATGCATGTGAACTGGTGTCCACAGAAAGATCTATTTCACTTACTGGTAATCCCTCTCAAATATAAAGAAGAAAAATCTGAGTGTTTGCTTCTCTGTTTCTGCCTGTGATGGACTGGTGGCCCGTTAGAGGTGCCTCCTCATGTCTAATGTCAGCTTGAATAAACTTCACATCCTCCATTAAGAAAAAAAAAACACTGTTAGACTCAGATATTGCAATAGTAACTCTGAAAAAGAAAATAAATGTTGTGATTTTCAAACCTCAATTCATCCACAATGGAACATAGTAAACATATAGTTTGCATTGAGGAATGGACCACATTTTAGAAATAAAAAAGGAGTTTAAAATGGAACAAGTTAAGAAACAGCTGGAGAATTTKGAAGCAAATTAGAATAATTGGGTGGATTTCTCAGAAAACATGGTCAGACGTTTACCAACCTCACCTAAAGAAACAGTCTTATCATCAAGAAACACCATGCTTTTATTATATACTGTATATATATACAGTATATA